CCCCCCCCCCCCAGCCTCAAGGGGCCACGCATCGCCTATGCATATGAGGAGAAGCTGAGGGAACTAGGCTTATTTAGTAGGGAGAAAAGAAGATGGAGGGGGGATTTAAATAGCAACCTTCAACTGCCTGAAGAGTGGTTCCAAAAAGGATGGAGCTAAACTGTTTTCAGTGGTGGCAGATGACAGAACAAGGAGCAACAGTCTCAAGTTACAGGGAAGTTTAGGTTAGATATTAGGAAAAACTATCTTACAAGGAGAGTAGTAAACGTTGGAACAGGTTACCCAGAGAGGTGGTGGAATCTCCATCCTTAAAGGTTTTTAAGACCAGGTAGACAAAGCCTTGGCTGGGATGATCTAGTTAGGGATGGTCTTGCTTTGAGCAGGGTATTCAATGAAATGACCTCCTGAAGTCCCTTCCAACCCTAATTTTCTCTGATTCTATGATCTGAGAAGTTTGTCTTTAAGCGTGTGGTCAATAAAGCTTAAGACTCTACTGCACCTCAACAAAACCAGTAATTTGAACAGTTGTTTGTGGGATAAGGGGGAGCTTGAGCAACTGTATCTGTAGTTTACTGACGGTTAGACTGCATGTATTCTCAAGTACTGGAAGCAAGGGTTGGCCAGTTGTTGTAACTTGATTCTTTAAACCTTAGATTTGCTTTCTGCTCTGTGAAGTTAGTTTACATGCCTCATTTTATTCTGAGATTGCATTAGGCCTGACAAAGGGTCTGACATTCCTTAAATTAGCCCTTTTAACTTAATTCATGAGCTAATTAATGGAGTTATTTTTTTCAATTATTTCAGATAATTATTTCCGTATCTAAAGAATAAGTTCTGCAATTTTGCAAAAGATGCATGGTGGTTAAATCATTGATTTTGGGGACCGTGACAGACATTCAGTTTAAGGCATCATGGGGTATAATCCATGATGCCAACAATCGCATCTCCTGCTAGGCATGGCAGGATGTGCAATTTTCAGACCAAGGGATTTGATCCGTAACGTGTGTTATTTTTCAGTGCAGGAGGAACCTGCTTAGTTGGGTGGCATACGTGGTTTTAAAGGTCCCAGTGCACAGGGATTCTGGGATTGGGCTGCTGGAATGGCTGTGTCCTGGGACCTGGAGTGTCAGGGTGCATCATGGTCATTCCCAGCTGGCCACACATTCAATTAAAAGCATGATACAAATGAGTCACAAAGTTGTTATGCATTAGAAGTGGAACAACTTTGTGGTTTAACTGTATTATTGCATCTTAAATTGACTATAGTACATGGCTAGGTTACTGTTTAAGGCACGATTAACCTGTTTATCGTGCTTCTAAATATAATGTGCATCAGAGACCTGAGTACCAGATAGTTTGGACCTTTTATGGAACTGTGACTTGACAGAGTTCCCATGAGCATAGAAGGGCATTGTGGTTAAGGCATGCCAATTTCTGGAGCCCAAAGCACATTAGCAAGTGATACAGCTAACGTTATGTCAGACTGTCTGGTCTGAATGCCTAGGTACCAGCTGAGTTGACTGGGAGTGGCTTTTGGCATGAGTTTAGAGCAGGGCTTCACACCCATTCCTCTGAAACCATAGTGAGACCACACCCTTCTAATATTCTAGAGCAGTGTTTCTCAACCCATGCCTTGCAACCCACAAGTGGGTGGCAAGAAGATTTTAAAGGGTCTTGGGGAGGTCTGAAGGACTCTGCAAGGCTGCATGGAGCCAGCACACAGCGCAGGGGCATAACGGGCACACAGCAGGGCAGCCTAAAGCAGCAGAAGAGGGAGGGAGGGAAGGGGCTGGAGGGGAATGGGGTAGGGAGACCAGGAGGGTGTGGGTTATGGCAAGCTGATAGTTATGCTAATGGGTCCCAGTGTGAAAAAGGTTGAGAACCACTGTTTTAGAGTAGTAGCGTTCAAGGTTTTGGCCCCATGGGCCAGATGAATGGTGTGGGCCTAGTCTATGGGTTGGATTGGGTCCTCTGCCACCCTTGGCCCAGCTCCACATGCTGGGATTGGGCCTGGGGCTCTGCTGCCCTTGCCCAGCCCTGTGCACTGGGATCAGCCCCAAGTCCCTGCCCAGCCCTGCATGCTAGAATTGGGCTTTAGGGCCCAGCACTTCCCCCACCTAGCCCTGCATGATTGGGCCCCATGCTGCCCTGCAGGGCCACAACCCACAGGGTTCCCCAAAGACCTTTGGGAAATCCCACAGGCCACATCTGGCCCACAGGCCAGGGAATCAGCACCCCTGTTCTAGGGCATGCCTGAATCTGTTTTCAAAGCACTTTTTATTTACTGGATGATGAGGGTAATTTTCAACTAGTAGCATATGGGTTCTCATGTTGTTTGCTAATATCCAAGTTGGATGGAGTACTTTTGTTGAATGCTTATGAGGTAAAGATGGGTGGAAGGGAATATACAGAGTGACTGTCCAGAGTGTGGGAAGGTCTTCCATTTTCAAGAAGTGATTTAATCTCAAAATTTATTTCAGTTTGGTGGGAAGGGAGGAAGTCTGCATGGGGTGAACACTGGGTTTGAATTTAATGTGTGCTTTGTCTAAGATGACTCAGAACCTTCAAAATTTATTTCATAAGTTAACTGATATTAAGCAGTCCCCATTTGAAGCTAGAGCCAATTGAAAACCCCTTCTTCTGAGTGTACTTGCTGGGCAGAAATTTGGCATAGAGCTGCTCTGTTATTCTTTAGGAATTCCAGGATGCTTGGCAAATCGAAGATATGATACACTTTAAGTACCTGTTGATCTTGTCTCAAAATCTGGACAATTTTGGGCTGCCATGTTGTGCAAGATAAATACTTCCTCCTTCCCCACTTTTCTTTTGTCTTTTTTGCTCTTATGACTGTAGTATTCTGTTCAGTTATGTGCTGTATGGTGTGTCTATTTTTCCACCAGTATAGCAGAGTGCCAATAATCTGCAGATTTTAGGGAGAGGAATTTGTGCAAAGGACATGCTGTGTAAGAGGAAATTTTTCCTGCAATATATCAAATTGTTCTGTGTTTACTAAGTAGAGCATGCTGTCATGTATGCTTAGTCAAATTTAAATGAACTGATAAAATCTTATGGTATTTGTCTTGAGCAGTTTGGAGCAAAAAGATATATGCAGCTTGTGTGTGTGTATGTTCCTTCTGAGTTAAAGTTCAAAGTAAACAAACCAAGTATGTGAATTTAGGGTGTGTGAATTACTCTGTTTGGATTGGTTGGTATACTTTCACAAAGTCCATCTTTTCAAGCAGGTCTTGATTCTATTTCTGTAAATATTGCTAAATTAATTTAAAATTTGAAGGATAAATTTCATAAATGGACCCTCCTTCAGTTTTGTAAAGTTTAGCTATGTTGTAAAAAAGATTCTCTCTTGGATTTAAGATTGTAATAACTTCTATACTCCAGGTGTCATATCCTTACAATTATTTTTCAGTAAGTGAATTGTTTTTACAAGATGAATTTTTCAGTATATATTTCAGGATGTAACTTAGTAGTCCATTCCATTTACATGAGACTGCTCTGAATCTTCATGGGCTTCATTACCTTCCAGGTGTAGCACATCTAGTGAAAGGGACCAACCTGTAAGAAGGATACTGGGGGGAGAGGGAGGAAATCCATATGGTTTCCCAAAGGCCAGTTAACCTAAGTTGAAGTGTGTTAACAGTAGATTATGCCAATCACATCAATGTGATAGTTCCTACCTTTTCATGCATATTTGAATCAGCTGTAAAAGTTAAATGTTAGTATTCAAATTCTTTAAACCCCAGAGTTAGCCATCCTTTGATCTGTACAGGAAATAAGTACATCCTGCATATGTTTTCTACCTAGTCTGCCTGCAGACTTGGCCAACTTGCACTGTGTTAGTTTACACGTGACTCTTGTTTTTGAAGGTTTTCTTCTGTCAAAAGAATGAGAAGCTTTTTTTAAGATAAATGAATTTATAGTATGTAGGATATGGATATAGCCTCTTTTGGAAAAGTGCCAATGTGCCTAGCTTCTGGATGTAAGCCTAAACTGAACCTGCCATGAAAACCTGGCTCCTATTCTCATTTTTCTAGAGCTGATTCTTCTCTAAACTACAGCAGATCTGGGGATAGTTTGGTAACAGGGTCTGTACATTAGTTAGTAAAATGAAGTTTACATATGGCATGGATATAAAACTAATATACTGTTGAATTAAAGTGCATTGTTTCATTTCTCTTGCTGCAAATCCAGGGCAGTTCTATGCTTATTACTAAGGAATCATCTTTCTTTCCAGTGGAAAGCAGTGAATTTTATTTTCCATAAATGGTTGGTCTACAGGCAGTATGTTTTTTATTTATTCCTTCTTTACCATCTCTCCCTCCCTGATCCTTTTTTCTTACAAGATTTATAGCAAGATGGTTTTCACAGATTTCATTCTAGGGAGAAGATACAGTAGTAATGATTATTACAGTAACGGTCTTCAAGGGTTGCCATACTCAGTGTCATTGTCCATTATTCTTGGGTCTGGACTCTGTTAACCCAAGGTTGTTTTTTTTTCTTTTTTGTCATTTCACACTTTGCTAACAAAGGGCAACTGAACACTCTCTCCGTTTTCAGCCCTTGAGAGCTGAGATCGTTTTCATTCCACTCAGTCCCTAGCCTGGTTACACCTAAAAACCAATGCTTCAGCTTTCATACCAAGTTTGTAGGTCACTGTTAATCTAACACAGTGCATTTGTGGAGTAAATTTTTGAATGCCTTATTTAATATTTCCTTGTAAAGTTTCTAGCACAAAGCTGTACATCCAGTAAGAATGTTGACTAATGTTGGAAACCATAACTTTGCTGTTACTCTCGCCCTTTATAGGCTCTTCAGAGTAACCTGAAATACTCTCTCTTGCCAAGGCGTTTGATTATCAGTAAGCGATTATCTCAGTGTTTACATCCAGCTTTACCTAGTGGAGTACATTTAAAGGCACTAGAAACATATGAAATAATCTTTAAAATTATTGGGACAAAATGGCTTGCCAAAGACTTGTTCCTGTACAGGTAAATAGTTCTTTAAAAACTCAGGCTTAATAAAATGTCTTAAATTGTTGTTTTCTTGTTTTACATGGTTGAACCTCTTTCTTTTAAAGCTCAGGCTTGTTTCCCCTGTTGGCAAATGCAGCAATGTCAGTGAGACCCGTTCTTCTTGGTCTGTATGAAAAGTATTTTCTTCCTCTGCAAAGGTCCCTGTTGCCAAGTCTTCAAGCCTTTATAACTGGACTACTGCCTGGATTGGAGGAGGGCTCAGAAATTTATGACAGGTGTGCTTGCAAATATTACTTTAAAACTTTAAAATAAATATTGGGTCACTTCCCATATGACTTGTAGAGGAACCCATTTCAGCAGACCTTATCCATAAAAAAAAGTACCTGAAACAAGGCTTCTGAGGGATGGGACCTGAAAGATACAAAAGTGGAAAGAGAGTTGAGATTGGATAAGATGCCTGTAGTATAGAAGGAACTGGAGGAAGGGAGGGATGAGAGCTCTAAAAAGAAACCACAAAATAGCTTTGTTAGAAGAAGGAAATCAAAAAACAGATTGCATGAGGCCATGTTAGTAATAATGCATAATAGAATAAATACAGCAAGGTGACACACCACTTCCCAAATTTGAATTGAATTCTTGACTATTGATAAACTCTTTTAAATCTTACAATTTAGGAGGAAGAGTACACTTAGTTCTGTGCATTTCAAGCTAATTTTCAGACTTTCCATAATAGATCGCTACCATGCGGTCCTGGTTGCATTGATAATTGTGCTATTTCTAACCCCTTAGTCACTGTTCTTTTGATTATGTAATGCTTGTACTTCAATTAATTCATAGTAGTTGTGACAGAACTATTTTGTGAAACCCCTTTTACAAGAATTGCACCATTCTTTCATTAAGTACATTATTGACCTTGACAGTGACTTAGCATGGGTTTGGTATATACAATTAAGTTTGCTTATTTGGTGTATTTTTTCTCTTCCCATTGTAATGATTTAATTTTCAAATCAATGGGAGTCTAAGTCTTTTGATTAAGTGTGTTCTGTTTAGCTTATTGGTTTGGGTTTGTTTGTTTGTTTTTGCAAAACAGTCTAGTCAACACTTCAGAAAAGCTTTAAAGAGTTACCATCAGTTGCCATAAGTGGGCAAGGACAAGTTGTATTTGTTCATTAGTGGTAAATAACTTTCAGCGTTAAATTCAGAGCTAATATACCTTTATAAGGTAAGATACCTTTTCTACCACTGTTGCACAAATATGTGAACATTTCATTAGGCAGAATGATATTGGCACGCTTTCATTCTGATACCACTTCTTTTATTCAGATCCAAATCTGTATCTTATAATTGAAATTTTAAAAGGTTTCTACATCCTCAAAACTGACCGCAGCTAAAAGTAATGAGTAAACAGTAGTTTTCAATCTTATACAAATCCCCAAATACCCTGCCAACCTATGTGGCTGTATAATCACACTTTCTTAATTTTTTTATTTATTTATTTTTCCTCCTCTTTAGCAAACAGGGGATCACTTGCCACTGTGAAATATTTTGTAATGAAACACTGAAATTAAGCAATATTACAAGGTGTTGTGAAATGCACAAAACCAGAGAAAATATTTTTTATGTAGCTTCTCAGTTATAATAATCTTTGTGATGTTAGAATGGTAGATGAAACTCTTTCAAGCAAGTTATTCTTAATTTATTTTTTAATTCAGATGCATCATGGGCAGGGTCTAACCTAAACACTTTTTTAAATACTCCCACCGTTGGTTTAGCATCTCCATCATTCCTGGTAGAGGCCATATTATGTATCGGGCATGAACATTCATAAAAGTTCACATTAAAAAAAAATATATAAAGTTTTGAAGGCATAACACAAAAGGAAAAAATCCTTCATAAGACAAAGAAAAATAAATAATCCCCCAAGCAATCTTCCCTGCTTTCTCAGTTTCAGATGCAGCTTTTCCCTTCTCAAATAATAGAATACAAAAATCTAATTTTAGAGGAGGTAAATCAGGGAAGGTCTGTTGAAATCAAACTGTTTTAACTGTAGAGGTTACTAGGAAAGGTCACTCTGAAAAATGGACACACAAATATATGAGATCACACACAGCCATTTTATCACGTACAAAGCATATCTGCTCAATTCACAAGTACAATAAAAATGGGATAGCTTCCAGCTGCCAGCTTAGTAAACTGATCCTAGAATCTGAAAGTCAGTTTAAGTGCTTTCTGTCTCAGTAATAAAGATTTTGGCATAAAAATTTAGTTAATAATTCTATTTATGCATGAGTAGAATTAGAAAGCAACTCACATACTGATGGCTGTATTGAGTTGTGCAAAAGTAATGATATATTAAAAAACCCATTCTGGCATGCATTCAGAGTTAGATTTATTTTATTGACTAAAATCTTTTCACTTTTGACAGTCACATGATAGAGTAGAATAAAGCATTAAATTCCTTATGCAGTATTAACTGAAGACCAAGTTAAAGATGAAGGAGGCTTTCATGCTTCTTGGAGTAAGAAGTAATAGTGTGGTGAGAAAAAATACCACAAGTCACTCAAATATTTAGATATTTAAAGTGCATTTCTGAGTCTTCCTATTCTAGGTGTTGAGCCTGATCATTTAGCATGTACCACTAATTTGTAGACTATGAAAATTTCATATCAAGCAATATTTATATTGTATTTGAGCTACTGTGCAAACATTGAAAGACATGGACATGTGTGAAGTCACTTGTTTCATGTGAAATATACAAAATAAGGATAAAAGAAATGCTTTGATAGTCAGAATGGATAACATTATCCTAATTCTGCAAAAGTCATCAAATGGTATAGGTAGAAATTCTTCCACCTCAGCTGGTTTAGAACTGCTATATTAGTGAGTATAAGCATATTACTTAAGGAGTTATTTTGGGGAAGTCCCCACAAAGTAGATGGAATATTTTGTTTTATTGTGTACAGTGGTAAAAAATAAATAAATACTTGAATTGTAAAACAGAACGTTGTGGCAAAATCAACATGGAAAGGGCAATGCTAAGTATGAAAGCAAAAGGGAGAGGATATATTAAAAACTCTGTTACCTACAATCCAGAAATATTGGTTCTATTACATTTGAATTGTATTATACAATTGTGTGGTAGTAGTTAATGGATTAACAAAATAAAATTTGCTTCTCATGCAATATTTCTTACAGGACTGATGCTTTGCTGGTGAAGCTGTCTTTATTAATAGGAAAAGAAATGTTTTATGCTGCTCTCTGGGGCAGTGTCCTGGCCAGCCCTTCAGTAAGGCTACCGGCTTCTCTCTTTGTTGTCAATCATATCAACAGAGAGTTGTCTGGAAAACAGCAGAAGTACATGCTGGGGACTGATTATAAGCTCACAGTAAGTTCATTACACCCCTAGTGGGATAGTCTTTGCTACCATAATACTAAGAAATCCCTGTCTTTCTTGGTACAACTTAACTGCAAAAGGCTTTTCAAAGGTGAGAAAAATTACTTCAGGAGATAAGGTTATGGACAATCTCAGCTACAGTTATAACAGTGGAACATGCCTCTACATGCTGACCAAAAATTGTAAGAATGACCATAGCACCTGCAGAATTTTTTCCCAGGTGTAAGACTTTTCTAGGTAATTTAAAATAAGGAATGAATGGGATGGGGTTTTTTTTGTTTGAGTAAACCTAATTTAACCCTCTTTATTCTTGCATTGCAGTCATGACCCAAAGCTCCAGTCACTGCTGGGGCCCTATTGTGTTAGATACTGTACAAACAATTGGAAACAAGCATCATCAGATTATGCACATTTAAAAAATGATGATGGTGAGGAGAAGTGATGCTGATTTACCAGCACATTCTTATGCTTAGTGAAGTGATTATTCTCTGCAAACAGGATAACTCCCTACCTGTTGTCCAGAAGTGCTTAGGTAAGGGAGGTGAGAATCTTTATATTTCTCAGCTCCAAAAAAGGAAGACATAAAACGAAAAATAGAAAATAGGTAGGAAAGAGGTGTACAAGTGAGAACTGTCCAAGAGTGACATGTCCTTTGTAATTTGTAACTTAATGCCCAACAGCCCAAGCTTCTGAAGTTACAATAGACTGCTGTTTCTTTTGAAATCACAAGTACATAATACAGTCTTAAGAAACTGACTTGGCCTAAACCAGAAAAGATGAGAAATTAAAAATAAAGCCAATGTGCCCTCCTTTATTTTGTTGCCTTTTGTGTTTAAGGATAGAATGTCAAAATTTTTCACTGTATGTCAGATATTATAATTAAGATTTTTAATACAGCAAAAGCTGTGTTAACCAGTACTTCACTAGCCGGAAAACTCTATTAACTGGCATCTGAGGGACATGGCAAAAGTGAAACCAGAAGTACCACTTCTGGGGGACTTCCCGTTTCACCACCACGAGCTGAGTTTTTTTTCACCACCTTTTCAGCCTATGACCCAGGGCAAAACAGCCTGTGTGAGGCAAAGCAGCCTGTGCAGGGCCCCTCTCCCTCTTCCCCAGCACACTGACGCTGGGAAGTGCACCAGACAGCGCACGTTTGATTAACCAGAATATTTGATTAACCGGCATCCCCCATTCCCAGGGGATGCCAGATAATAGAGCTTTTACTGTACATACAAAGGTGTTCTTTTGCAGTACTTGGAGCCTTGTCAGTGTTTAAAACAGCACCACAAAACCCTGCCTCGGCAAACCTGAGAAAAAGCTCCCCTCCATTTTGTGTCTTTTGCCTAAATGGAAACAAATTGCATCCCTCTCCCTCTCTCCCTTTCCCTCTCCTTCTCCCTCTATTACTAGAATAATAGAATGACAGACCAATACCTGCATCTTCTGAATCTTTCTGATGTCTAACACTGTCACTGCTTATACTTACATTCCAGAGTTCAGCAAACCCAAGTATGCTGTCACATATATATGAAAAATTGTTAGAAACTGTTCAGGGTCTCTTCCTGTTAGAAGGACAATCATTTTAAACATTCATATTTTCATGCTTTTCAAATAAGGTACTGATTTTGTTTCTGTTTAAAATACTTCAAATATTTGATAGCTGTTAACAAGCCTTGTAACTTGGGTAATGAGAAAAATGTTAAGTAAAATAACATTGTCCTTTTTTTCTTCATACTACAGGTAAAAGCATTGTGTGTGGCAGTATTGGATTCAAATGTTCTTGTGCAAAGAAACACGTTAGAAGTGGTTCTCTTCTTTTTCCCATTTTATACTTCTTTGGTAAGAGAATCCTTTGAATGCTAAGATAACTGCATTTTATTGGGGGAAGCTCTTTATAAAAAACTACACTATCTAGACATTTCTCTAAAACTGTGCCAGGTTTTTTTCACCCTCTAGGGACAATCAAAATCTATCTGAGTTTTGCCATTGACTTCAGCAGAATTCTCAGCTAATTTTCCTTCTACAAAGAGCCCAAACATTAGCGATGGGACATTGTTTTTAATTGCACGCTTACCTTCTGCTACAACATGAAGTATTCAGGCCTGGGTAACTAAATGTTTTTCTACATAGAAGTCAAGTATTCAGGGTTGTCTGGACTAAACTAAAATATTTACAAAGAGCCTATGAAAACATGTATTTAGTGCGTGAATCAGTAGATTCACCATCTAATCTGTCTCCTGACAGATTCTAAGTTACAAATCCCATAATGGTAATGGGTTGTCCTTATTTTCCTTTATTACACTAGCACTCTTAGCATAGCTTTCCAGTTTGTGCCTGAAATTTTTTTCTATAACCTTTAGAAATTAGCAAGTGCGATCTCTTTCAGAGAGATCATACAGCTACATTTGCCCTTTTTAATTTTTTCTTCTTTTGTGTAGGACTGCAATGAAAGTGCTGTTCCACTGCTCAGGTCTGACATAGTTCATATCCTATCAGCAGCTACTCACACACTCTTGAGAAGAGACATGTCCCTAAATAGAAGATTATACGCATGGTTATTAGGTACAGTGACTTTTGGTTTACACCACTAATTGTATTTTTCCATGTTTAAAAAAAAAGTCATACTTTCCAGAAATCATAAAATCATGACAAAATAGAAAATCCTACTTCATTTTGCTCATCAGTGACAGCATTTTTATATTTGAATGCTCCATCATGCAAGTATTACTTTTTCTGTTAATAAACTGTAGTTAATTCTGTCATCTTAAATTGTAACGTGTCTGGTAAATTTCTCATATACCAACTTGGAATTAATTCTCAGTTTGTTTCCTAACTAATTCAAGGGATAATTTTACCCAGATAAGATACACCCCTCTTCTTGCACCAGAAATGTACGTTCTTTTTGGTCTTTAAAACTTGACTTGCATTCCATAAAACTTGAGTATCTGCAGTGATGCTCTGCTGATGTATTTTTCAGACTGGGTCATGTGAGCCATGCTCAGATGATTTGCGAGTTGGCTTCAGGTTTTGAGCATGAGAACAAAATCGATATAGCTAAGCCAGTTAAAATGGGAAAAGTGATATTCAGTAGGGGTGTGCAAAGTGGGTCGTATTCGATTTGGATTCGGCCTGATTTGGGGGACAGTGATTCAGTTAATTGGTCCAGGTCATTGTCCCAACTCGATTCAGCCAAAGCATTAAATCTTCAGATTCAGATGATTCGGAGATTCAGCGATTCGGTCATAGACACAGCTTTAAATGTTTTTTCTACATACCTCAATGTACCAGGTGGCTCGTGAACGCTGAGATGGTGGGGTGAATGGAGCGTCCCATAGGAGCACAGCCCCCCCCCGCCCCTGTGTGCTTGGCAGTGGACCCCCCTCCCACACCTCGCTCTACAATCAGCCATGGGGAGACCTCGGGTGCCCCCCCAAACTCAGGAGCCACCAGTCGCAGAGG